CATTAAGTTTCGAATCGCAATACAGAGTAGAGCGCTTGTAGTGCTAAGTCATTCGCCGAAAGGTGTACAGATGTATCTTCCCTGTTTCTGGGATAGTATCCGCCTGGCGGAAAAGCAACTGTGGGAGGGCATACTATAGCTCATGTCTAATGCCTGCAGATCTGGTAAATTAAAATCAGGCAGAGTTCTGTTCCCTACAGGGTTTTGTATCCACAAAATAACTTAAACTTAACTTACCTAATCTTTACAAAACTAATGAAACATGTAATAATGATAAAATCCAGTCATTGCACACAGGTTATATAATCTATTCCTAGTAAACTTAAACGCGGTGCATACACTCGTGTTGAAAGTATTTGGACAGTCATCAAATTTGATGTGAATCGCGTAGATAAGGCACTAGTTTTTTGATAAAAGTTGCCAATAAAAAATGTTAATACTTTACTGATAAAAATGATAAGTTCATAGTCATCAAAGTGTCGGCTATCTAAAGTGGTATTTTCCCAACTTGATTGATGCACTTAGTCTAATTATTATTATTATTTTCAATACACCGATAAAATGTTTTTCTAATGTATCTTTTTATATAAAATCTGATTTCACGTATTGCATCATTTATTCAATGACAATAACAGTACTTCTCTTTTTTGCTGAAATTTCTGGAATAAAATTTCATCAATATTTACCACTTAATCTTGGGTTAGCAAGCTTTTTTAGAGAAGTCGTGAAATATGTAAACATATGTATGTGCGTACAGTACACTGAAAAAATTCGTCTGACTAATCGCGTAAGAGACCAGTGGAGAGCAGTTTCAAAAAGTAAAGGATTTCGTATATTTATTAGAACTCAGCATAAGCACCGATACTAAATAATGTTATGCTTGAAATCCAGCGGAGAATTCTACGAATGAACACACAACCTCTCAACGCTGCACGTACTGCGGCTAGCAGAGAAACACAAAGTTCTGCTTTGCATTGGAAAGACCAGGTGGCTTCTCCTGACATTTCCAATTAGCGTCAGTTAGTACTTTTCATACACGTTCGAGTTAAAGGCGAACCATAGTATTTTAATTGAATATGCTCGAACCATCACGCCCATTAAAATTGGCTTCAATCGTCATGAAAAAACTAAACAGTTTTCCGAGGCTCTGAGACGATTATTTCTTATACCTATCAAGACGTTTTTGAACAAAAAATCTTTATTTAAAATAAACATTTACCGCCGAAAGGGCATAGTCTTACATGTCTATTAGAGCGTCTCGCCTTACAGGCAAAAAAAAAATTCGCCGTATACCCCCTCATATGAAGTGTTTTTGAAAAGCATTTTAAAAAAAAGTTTGGACAACCCTAGTTCTTCATATCTTTGGCATTAATAGTCGGATTGTAAAGTGTGATACACCAATATTTTTGTCTCGAGGAGTGGGTTTTTCCTACGGACCTCATTGACTTCATGTGCTCCGTTGTGATACTTACCCACCAGATCTCAGTTGCTACCACCCTAACGTACCGCCCTAATGACAGTAAATTAAAGACCGTCAAAAATCCTTAATCTTTTGCGAGAGAAGTATTTCGATTAGTTCAGTAGAACCCCCACCTCGAGACAAAAAACATTTTCATCCACATTCACACTTTAAAATCCAACTATAAATGCCGAAGATATGAAGAAAAATGTAATTGGGCGATTACCAGGGTTGTCCAGAAAAAAATTTTTTTTTAACGCTTTTCAAAAATAGTTCACATGAGGGGGTGTACGGCGGACTTTTTTTTGATACGGTCTAATGTCTATGCTTGGCAAATAACCTTTGATTGAGTGATGTCCCTCTGCAATTCTCATCATCCTTATGTTTTAACTCTACTCGCTAATTCGTATAACTTACAACTGTGAATGCTTAATTCCGGCTTTGTGAGTCTAACAAAAAGCTTGAAACCCTGAGATTTTTTTAAGACTCGATAAAAAGGTTTAAAAGGTTCTTAGTGATCAGACCGCTGATTACACAGTACCACAAAAAGAAAAATCGATGAAAGGTTTTGACAGACTGGGTGTTTTATGTTTTTACGGTCGTTTAAAGCGAATTTGAAGTCCGTTTTGCTCCCTCATGTCGGGACTTTTTGCTAAAAAGAATCGCGTTTTTACCGACTTCACAAAAAGGAGAAGGTTATTAATAATTTTTTTTCTGACTGCTTTACAATTTTTTTTCCATACAAAATATATTCGACATTTTGTTATGTATGGACAAAATGCGTCATTCAGTCAGAAAAAAAAATTATTAAAAATCAACGCCATTCTTTAGCAACTTGAAAATTGCACATTATTGACCTAGAATTTAATGGGATAATAAACTGCATACTCAAAAAAAAAATAAAAAATCGGAATAAAAAGCTGAAAATTTAGTTGAAACTTTGCAGATTTTTTATAATTTTTGCACAAAGTTTGAAATGTGAATTTATATGGTGTTTGTTATATAATAAGCTAGACTTTTATGGAAAAATAACAAAAATTAAATAAGCAAAAGAAAAATAGCCAAAATTGATCAAAATGTTGATGACTTAATCAGCTGATCACAAGTGTATGTACATGCATTCAACCATATCCAAGAACAGCAGAATGAGCGGCTTTCGGCAGGCTGCTTTTGGGGTGCTTGATTAGTGTTATCTCCGTGCCTCTCACCATTCTTAATTATTTTAAGGTCCAGTACGACTCAAAGTACATACTTAAAGAGTGACGGATCATTGCCGCCTACAAATTCTCTACACTATTTTTGTGGTTAATTACATACATACTACGTTGATGCACACTTACATTGACTCAAACAAGTGTTCACATTAAAATTTTATTCGCTATACAACTGCATACCGAAAATTGTTCTAAAGACTTAGATTAAAAGTTCAAAATTTTGATGAAAATTTGTTAAATTTTTCTAAATTTTGTATAAAGTTTGAAATTTCGAATCATATGGTTTTGGTTAAAGCAATATTTTTATAAAAAAAATAAAAGAAATTTATATTCAAAAAACACTGAATAGTTATTAGTTATGTGGTTAGTCACTCTGTACTAGGAATGTTAGTCCCGGGATCCCGGCCTTTTTTTCTTGGCAAATAACCCGGGACTTTCGGGATTTGTAATTTGCCCTTATGGCAATAATATAAACTCCTTTTCTTGACCAGTGTTGGCTATATTTCTTTTTTTTTATTTAATAATTAATATTTGTTTTATAAATGTCTAGCTCATTATGCATACATAGAACAACGTGCGATAGTAAATATTACACACAAAAATCATTATATTCGCGAAACCATGGGCCAAATATAGTAAACTTTCGTTTTTAGTATTTCACTCTGACGTCAGAAATTCAAAAGTGAAATGTGCTTAGAGAAGAAAATTCTGTCGAATTTAATCAGATTAAATTTTTTGGTGCATAGGGACTGGTAAGTTTTGAAAATGTCCTTTTAAAATTTTATCCTTGAAATTTCGCAATATTTGTTTTTGAAAAAATTATATGTTAAGGACTTATATAAATCCTCGAAATTGGTCCTCCTAACTTTATCAGCTTAAAAAATTACCTATTCGTCCTTGTGAATCCAAAAAATTTTATTTTTTTTGTTTTATTTCTAAAGAAATTTCCTCTTTAATTTGGTACCCATATTTTTATTTTACATTGTATTGAATTTTTTGAAATAATTATTGGAATTAATAATATCTTTGAAATTACAAAGTCGTTTAAAATAAATCCTGACGTCAAAGAGAAAAAATAAAAACGTCACTTTAAATAAAAAATTAGGTTTCATTTATTTATTATTTATTTTGTGGTAGGAGAGATAGAAGCAATTTTTTTTTTTTTTTTAAAGTAATGAATATCTAAATCTCGGGACTTATCCCGGGATCATGGGATTGTGGTAACGACATCCCGAAAAAAAAAAAAATTAACATCCCTACTCTATACTCTCTACTCACCTTTCCCTTAGTGCCAGACACGTGTATGAAAGGTATATGCTCCAATTCATCCAAACTAAGGCCACTTCGCTCCATATATTTGTACGTATCAGTTAATGGCAACTGTTTATTATTCAGCAGAATTGAGCGGCGTATCGTTATCGCGTTCGATTGCAGCGTATTCAGATCACTAATACATTCCTGATAAACGAAATTAAAATACATATATTAAACAACATTCGCGTGCGTAAACAAAACACTGGAAAAAAACTAGTTTTGGCTGGCGCACAAAATTTCGCATATGTAAACATTCGCACGCTGGTTTTGCGCTTGCAGTGACGTGACGTCAGCTGGCCAGGTATGAACTATATACATACATACATACATATGCGCCATGCGTATTGCTTTATTACGCACTACAGCAACGCATGCGTATTCTTCTATCCACTCCC